GCGCGTGGATCGCGCACACGCAGCAGCGGCACATACGGGACTCGGTGAGCGCGGCCTGGGACACGTACGACACGGACCGCGACGGGCGTGTGGGTTGGGAGGAGCTGCGCAACGCCACCTATGGCCACTACGCGCCCGGTACGCGGCGAGCCCCCGACCCTGCTCCCCATACAACGTTACCCCGACCTTCTGGACCGCCTCATTCTGAGAACCTGAACCCGTTTACCCGGAGTCCCTGGCCCCTAACCAGGCTCTACCCACTTTTAGGAGCCCATCACTGAGATCTTCACTTTCTCACCTCTGGCTTCTCTTTTTTGTTTTTCGTTTGTTTATTTTTCTGATATTTAGCTGCATACTAAAAACGATCTTTTTTTCAAACATGAAGTCAGAATTAGATGCTAAAAGCCACTGAACACGCCCAAAGAGGGACTTGAACCCTGAGCCCTCAGATTAAAAGTCCAATGCTCTACCAACTGAGCTACCCAGGCTCCCTTCAGGGAGTTTATTCTGGGACCCGCCACCTCTATGACAATGTGACAGTATGACTAGGGAACTTCAGATCCACGGCCAAGGACACCTACTTTCCATGCTTTGTCATCCTGACCCCTAACCTCCGTGACATCATCCTGAGAACCCCAAAGCCAGTTACTCTGCCCCCGACTCTCAGATCCCTCCTTTCTGTCCCAAGCCCCAGCCCCAGTGGCCCACCCCTCCACACACACACACACACACACACACACACACAGCCCTCATTCCCTCCCCCCTCTCCTCTCTGTCCCTGGCCCCAGCCTTCCCCTCCAGCCTGTCTTCCACAGGGCTCCAGGGGAGTCTTCACACCCAGCACTGACTCTGCCCTTCCCTCCCCTTCCTGGGCCCCCAGGAGACAGTCCCACTTCTCAGCCCGGACATCTCCACCTGTAGGTTTGTTTTTCTGCATTTTCTGCCCCAAATGGATCTTCTGTGGTTTTCCTGAACTCACCACACTCCTCAAACCTCTACCCTCTGCCCATATTGTTCCCTCCAATTACAATGCCCTTCCTTCCTCTCAGTCAAGCCATCTCAGTCCCTGTAAGCTACCCCATCACAGCCTCAGTCTGGGGCCAAAAGGGCTACTATCAACTTAAAGTCCATCATTCCTGTCTCCACACCCTTGGATCAGTTATTTCTTCTCTCTGGGAATCAGTTTTTGCATTCAGAAAGTAGAACACATGGAAAAACCCACTGTACCTGCTTTTTGTGATGATTACATGCAGTATTTTACATAAAGAGCTTAGCATATAATCTCTCACGAGTTAGCTAATTTATTGTGTGGATATAATATGTTATATAGCCTGGGTGCAATGGTTCATGCCTGTAATCCCAACACTTTGGGAGGCTGAGGCGGGTGGATCACTTGAGATCAGGAGTTAGAGACCAGCCTGGCCAACATGGCAAAACCCCATCTCTA